TACAGTCATTTGTGAATTAGAGATAGAGAGACCAAGGCCACACCAGGAAGCAAGCCCAGTCTGGGAACCAGCGCCACGCTAAGGCCGCCACAGGACTGGAGTAGACAGACCCCAGACCCTTCTGGCAATGGCTGACAAACAAGAAACACCACCTCCCCCCACCCATCCCACTCCCACAGCCATAAATGACCCACTTATCTGGAGAAACACAGGCTGTGATGATAGCCATGGAGGCGAAGTGCAATTGGATGCATGTGGTGCTTTGGTGTCTCACTGAGACTGCAGGTCTAGGGCCAATGGTCTGGTCACAGGTTCAGAGCAGAGTGGTACACAGTGTAACATCTTGAGGGGATCTCCTTCTGAGGTTGTAGCCACTGTTGATTCTCTATAGTCTTGTTTTGGAAGTCCTATATCATTTCCAGTGTTTTGATGGTTTGGGTTTTATTTTCTTTGTTTTGTTTGATTATGTCAAATCCAATGGCAGGAGCAGCTATATTAAAGATGGCAAGAAACATTATGGTAGCAATTTTGAGTTTACTATTGGCTTGTTTTGAAGTCCTTTATTGCATTCATTGTTTTGTTTTTATTGTTTTTGTTCAATTCTGTTTCATTTCATTTTTACTATGTCCAAAGTTATCAGCAGCTATTTTGAAGACATCAAGACAGATTATGGTAACTATTGTTGATTTCATAATGTTTTGAAGTCCTGTATCTCTTACACTAGTTGGTTTTGATTGCTTTTCTTCCATTTTGTCCTCTTTAAAATAAAATTTTAAAAATGTAATTACAGAGATTAATGTTGACTTGTCTTCTGAATCTTTCCTTCCATTATATTAAAAAGTTCCATTAAAAAGCCATAAGAGTGTCTGATTGAAATAGTTAAACACCACATTTCTTTTAATGAAAGGGAAATAAAGTTCTTTAAAGGATATAACTGTATGTATAAGTGTGCAAGATAGAATACCATGTACTAAGCTTTGTTAGTTCATCATACAGAGTGGTTTGTACTGTCATTGTTTGATTGTCCACTTTTTATGCTCTGATTATGTGCCTGGAACAACCACTAAGATAAAATATGTAATTTTTCAACTAGTGATTTCTTACTTTTTAAAAAATTTAGTATTATTTCTACCCTTTTTTTGTTTTGCTCTTTTTCTTTAAATAAATAAATACCATATCCACATAGCCACAATGATGACATAAAGAATTATTCTCCCTGAGATGGCCCAAGCCTTTATAATATTGATACTGAGATAATTTAAATGTGTATTTCATGAGTGTGGGCCACACAACTTAATGTAGCAGTCAGGCCCACAGTGGTTTCTAGTGGTTTCCACTCCAGTTGTCCAATGTTTTTGTGCCATCTTCTTGGGGACAATCTGGACAATAAAGTGCCCCTAACCAAGAAAACACAGCCAACATGATGTGAAGCTGTAGTGATATCATCATGCTGTGTGATTCCATCACAGCTGATTGGAGCTGCAGATCACAGGTGGCTGTCGTTAGAGAAGCTGCCATGATAGAAAACTGTAAAAGCACTGTAGGACCTCGGGTGGTCCGGGACAAGAAGGCAGCCTCAGCCCACATTAGGCAACAGCTAGGGTCTCACTCATGCAGCTGCTAGTTATTGAAGTCTTCTAAACCTCACAAGTGTTGGAAAGCAAATTCCTCCCCACTTGAGGCTCCCTGTGAGGATGCAGCACAGCTGACATCTTTCCTGCAGCCTTATGAGGACCTGGGCAGAGGTCCAGCCAAGCATAGCTGGCCTCAATGGCAGAACAGTGTCATAATTAATAATTGCTCTGTTAAGTTGCTTAGTCTGTGGTAATTTGGTACCCAGCTAGAAAAACTGACACGCTTTGTGATCTGACTTATTTCCTGTTCATGCTCTTCACATTTTTAAACATCTTTGACAATAATATATGTGTGTGTGACTTTGTTGTTGCTATTTCAAAATAAATTTAAATTAGCTCAAAAACACATATTACAAGGATAAATTTTAAAAATTATTTTCAAAGAACAAATTTACTATCCCCTGTATATTTTTTGCAACACTTGGGGAAGTGCTCTAAATGTGAATTTTTCTCTTCTGAAAAGGAAGGGTCATTTACTGTTTATGGCCTTCATGAAAAAAGTTTTTAATAGAGATGTGGTCACGGGGCAGGAAGTCACTCTGTGATGAATAAATTGCTTGAGCTTCACCATGTCAGGCCCGCCTACCTTTGTTCTGAAGAAGGGCCGGTTCTCCATCCTGATGGTTTCCTACCTTCATCCTCAGTGTGTGGGTGTATAATGACTGCATTAAGGGAACCCCAAAGTGTGGTTCATCTCATTCTGTGTGAGCTACACTGTTGTGTGAGCCTCAAACTATTTTTAGCCCATGCCATTCTCACAGCTGATTGTCACGGCACAAGGAAACAAGAAACAACTTCAGATGCAAAATAACCCCTAAGACTCTACTTTTATGAAACATCCAAGTGAAATTGAAATTGAGCTCCAGCAGAAAGAATTCTCTCACTTTCTCTCTCTCTTATAATATTTTCCATATTTTCCTGTTATTTGCTGTCTCTATGTTCACCTGGACCTCCAGGGGAGGAATGATTTCCCTCTGAATTCCCCTCTCCAGATTCTCACTTCTCTTTTCCCTTTCTCACCGGTTGTTCAGCTGCTGCTGTCAGCTGTGAAAGACTTTCATACAGTTATGTTTGTCGCCACGCGTTTTATATATATATATATATATATATATATATATATATATATATATATAACATTATCTCCAACCTGCACTGGAAAGTCTGAAATTTAATAATTTTTAATAATTTTAAAATAAATTTTAATTCCTCTGTAAGCAGTTTCTAAGTGTGAATTTGACATTACAAAGATGGAAAACAAAGCAAAAGGTTAAAAAAGAACAAAATGTAAGTTTTTATAAAAATAGAGATTTACAAATGCAGACAAAGTTGTTGGGGGAGGAGCCCTCCCACATTGCTGGTGGGAAAGTAAATTGGTACAGCCACTATGGAAATCAGGACAGAGATTCCTCAAGAAGCTAAAAATAGAAATTCTGTTTGACCTGGCTGTGCCTCTGCTGGGCGTTCTCCTCAAACAGGTAAAGACATCAGATTGCAGCGGTGCCTGCAGACTCATGACTCCTGCAGCACAACTCACAGGAGCTGAGTTTTGGAAACCACCTGCGTGCCCACCAGCAGATGATGGATAAGGAAAATGGTGGTGTATATACACAGCGGAGGCTACTTCTCAGCCATAAAGGAGGACAAATTTGAATCACTGTAGGGAAACAGATGGATCTTGATATCATAATATAGTGAAAGAGGTCAGACACAGAAGGTTAAGTATCACATGGTTTCCCTAATACAAGAGTTGCTATATATGTATAATGTAAAGAGTAAAATAGCCATGTTAGGAAACACGGAGACAGACTTTATGGGAAAGCAAGGGTCTGAGGAAGGGGTACAGGAGTTAGGGAGAAGGACAGGAGGGGTGAAAAGACCACGGAGTGATACGGACCTGTCTAAGTCACCCGGGCTGAGTGTGACTACTGTGTATCACAATCCTCTAACAGTAAAAGTAAAATAAAAGCTGCAGTTCAGTCCCAGAAAAAAATGCTGACAGAGTGTTGAGGAGAAAAATATTCATTGAGCAACACATTTTTGGGTCCTCAATTTAGACTCTGACAAGATCATAGCTGTGTGGAATGTGACCTGATTGTGCAGGAAGCACACTGCTTCCCAAATACCCTGTCGTGACAGAAGTTGGACTGAGGGGAACAATGAGGACCAGGGGACCTCCCCCCCAGGTTGGGGGGGCAGCTTGGTTTTTCAGTGTCCTGGGCTCCGTGCTGAACTGTGATCAGTTAGTACGGTAATAGTAAAATAGGCCTTGGATAGGCAGAGAGTAGGAAGAACTTTCTTCTTCTAGACCAGGAAACTAGGTAAACAGTAATGGAAATGTGGGAAAATATATATGGGAAAAATGAATAAAATTTTTAAAAAGTGAACTAAGTGGAGAAATGAAGACAATATAGAGGACCTCCTCTCAAATCTCATTTTCCTAACAAGTACGTCAGTCTGAACTCCATATACATTTCCTAACCAAATTAGATAAAACCTGCAAAGTTTTATTCATTTTTGTGATATGATTTTCCTTTGGATGTGTACTTACCTGACTTGTCTGACCATAAAACATCTGGCGTATTCCATAGGGTTTATATTTCATTTATCCACAGATCACTAAATCTAGCAGTCCACAGCTGAGGTTGGGGCAGGCAGAGAATTTCATGAAAATAGTTAATGATGTTGTTCTGCTGATATATATTTGTAGTACATATGATTACATTGATTTTGGGAAATTCACACATAGCTGAATTGTATCCTGGTCAGTTTCCCTGCCTCTTCCTCTTCCTCCCTGTCTTCCTCTCTCCCTCCCCTCATCCCCTTGCCAAGCTCCAGGCTGTTCAGCTTCCTGTTTCCCACCATCTCTCCTGTTGGGCTCTTTATTCATATTTTGAGTTACTTCTTGACAGGACAGGGAGAGAAGTGAAGACACACTGGGGAGGAGCCGCATTCATTCGATTCATCACGGTGCCACAGGGAGCCATTCAGTGACACTTGTTTCATTTCCTTTTGCTCCCATTAGGAGAGTGGAAAGGAGCAGAGCTGTGCTTTGAACAATCCGAGGAGGAGGTTGAAGCAGGAAGGATGAGGCGACATGGTAGGAGGAAGAAGCAGGGACCTAGCCCAGGCAAAGGGAACAGGAAGAGAAAGATCCCAATACTGAGATCTAATGAACAAAGAAAGCAGGTTAAATTTTAATTCCTCTGTAAGCAGCTTCTAAGTGTGAAAATTAAGGGAGTTATTTCTATGGTTGATATCTAAAGGAACATTATGTTACCTTTTTGGTACAAAAGATGTTGACTTAAATACATTGCCATGAAGTCACTAATCTTATTTAACCTCTTACCGTCTCTCATTCTTACTCAGATTTGGGCAGAATACAGCAGAGAAGAAGCAAAGTGCCTGAAATCTGGTCGGACTACCTGCATTCAGATGCGTGACTTTGCACATGCACCAGCTGGACTTAATCACTATTTCTGTAGTCAGCTGATTTAAGAGCACATAGGTTAGTGTGCAGCGTGAGTACTGTAGGTCACTGTAAGATTAAGGGGTACTCAGGAAGCCCTGGGAACATGCAAGTATCCTGGGTATGTGAAAGTGTTGATGTGAGCTATCAAGGTGCACATTGCAAAATTCCGACCCCACATTTGATTACAAACCGAACAAGGCATACCCTCCCCCATTCTGTATCTGCTTACGTGTGTAATGTGCTCAGGTATTGGACTCGCAATTACTTTTACAATGGGGCTTATTAAGTTCATTGTTTTAAGAACAAAATTGGCATGCTTTGCTCAGTGTCAGTGAATAAAATAAAAGGCACTTTACACCCTTCTTTTGAATAAGAAAACATTTCCACACAATGAAACTATGAATTTAAGTGAAGAATATACTTTGGAATTTACAATAGCTGGCACACTATGTTCCTAGTTTTACTAAAAGTGTGAAATTTTAGTTAATTGCTCTGTTCTGAATTTTAAAGAGCAAAGAGTTCATAAATAATAAGCTTCAGTGGCAGTTTGCACAGGCTTTAAAACCTCTCAATGTACTTTTCATTGCCAAATATGTGATTCTTGTGAGTGTTGATGATTCCCATGAATTTTAAACCATTTTAAAATTCTCAGAAAGAGACTGAACTACACATGAAATTTATCTCTCATTCTGTTTTAATACAGCCCTGGATGTCAGTGAGAAACCTCTCATTTCCTGACACATATATCCTTTAACATTTACAACATTCCCTTAAAGTAGGGCTCGTGAAATTACTGCTCCCTAACTGCATAACCGTGAGGAAATCTTCAACAACTTGGGGTTAGAAGTGGGACGTGGGATACGGTAGTGCATCCCTGTGATCTCAGAGCTCTGGGAGGCTGAGGTAGGAAGACTGCACGCAGATGCCCAACCTGGTCAATTTAGTGACTTAGTGAGACTGTCTCACAATAAACACAAATAAATAACAAGGCTGGGAGATGTAGGTCAGTACGAAGGCCCTGGGTTCAATCCTCAGTAACACTGTGCTGAAAAAGAAATTTAGGGTTACACAGTACATACGTGCACAATTTGTCTAACACACACACACACACACAAAAAAAAAAAAAAAAACACATGATATACATTTTGGAGAGAATTGGGAAGAGAAGAGACATAGACATCTCTCCATTTTCTCCATATTTGACAACCATTTGTTCACTGAAAGCATCAATCACTAAGAAACAGTTTACCTCTGGTCAACATCCTTAACCCTTGTAAATTACAAATTTCTTTGTTTTTTTTTTTTTCACTCATTATTACTCACTACCTGCTCTGTGCTTTTCCTTAAAAAACATTAAAGTAGTAGGAAATGCATTGAAAAATTGGAAGTTAGGGTTTTAGAACTCAAAACATTATTTTGTATTTAAACAGTTTATTTATTTTCAAATGAGAATTATTAAATCTCACTTTCCTGGATTTACTTTTTCATACTTTTTCTGTTGTGCAAACACATACCTTCATTTGTGTGTTGGCAATACTTGATAGTTACATTCACTTGGGGAGACCTTTCATTAACGTATCTTCATTATTTTCTGTCCCCTTTTCCTGCCCTCGCTAACTTCCCTCTCCTCCTGATTCCCTTTCCCTTCTCCAAAATGTTTTCCTTTTATTCTTTAATTTATTTATAATTTTGAGTTTTTCATGTAAGAGAAACCAGGTGACATCTAACTTTCTGATAAAATAGCTATACATAGACCTTATATCATAGTGATAAAAAAACATATGTGACTTACAAATCTGTGACCAACATCTTGCTAAATAGAATTGAAAGCCTTCTTGCTAAAATCAGGAAGGTGACAAGAGAGTCAACTTTAACCACTCTTGCTCAAAATAGTACTTGAAACTTCAGCCAGTACAGTCAGGCAAGAGAATGAAAGAAACAGATGTGAATAGGAAAGGTTGAAGTTAAATTACTTCTATTTGAAGGTATTGTGATCCTTGCAATAGATGACCCCAAAACTCCAGTAGAACTCCACTCATTTACTGATAAAATCAGCAAAGTAACAGGGTACACAATCAATACACAAAAATCAATAACATTCTTGTACACCAAGATCTAAGGAGAAAAAAGTCAGGAAAACAATTACATTCAGGTTTACTTCCAAAAAATTAAATATTGAGGAATAAACCTAACCAAGGAAGTGGAAAACCTCTATAACAAAAACTATTGAACACTGAAGAAAGAGATTGAAGCAAATAATAGAAAATGGAGACATCCCTCGTTATACTTGAACAAGCAACATTCTTCACAGGACTAGGAAAAAATGTTTTTAATTTATATGAAACCAGGAGAGACTCAGGATAGCCAATCCTGAACAAAAAGGGCAAAGCAAGAGACATCACAATTCCTGATTTCTAGTTTTATTGCAAAGCTATAGTAACAAAAACAGCATGGTGCTGGCAGAAAAATAGACACACAAACTAATGGAATAGAAGACACATAAGCAACCACATGAATCTTCAACCATCATATTTTTGACAAAGGGGCAAAAATATCACTGGAGAAAAGACAAGATCTTTAACAAATGGAAAACTGGTTATCTACATGTACAAGAATGACACTAGACTTATATATCTCACTCTGCATTACAATCAAATCAAAATCCTTTATTTTTTAAAGTTTAATTTCATTTTTAACTTATACATAAAAATATTAAAAGTATCTGTAATAATGCGTACCATGTGATGTTTTAATTTATATGTGTATTGTGTAATGTTTAAATCAGATTAAATATATCTATTTCATGAGTTTGATGAGATGAAAACACTGAATATCCTTTCTTCTAACTTCCTGAGATTACAGTGTCTAACACCTATAAGTATTCTAATTTCATAAAAAATGAATTGCAGATTTCACTAAGTAATTAAAAGTATTTATATCGATGGTTAATAAATGAGAATAAATAACCTAATGGAAAAACCACGTCCATCTGAAGCATCAGAGTAAATACAGCTGCAGTAAATACACCCCAGTACACTAAGGTTAATTGAAGTTTTCAAGACACAAAGTCTTTCTGGCCATATTGTACTATGATTTTTGTTCTGTTTTCCTCTGTTTTGTTGTCCAGGAAAGCTGTTTCTTCCCACAAGAAACCACTACATGTCACTGTGTGATCAGAATCTTCTTTTAAAATCTCAGATTTATAGCAGACACCTGAGTAATGGCAGATAAATACTTAACAAAGCCTCTGAGCCACAGCAGGAGAGAAGACTTGTTTGAGTAACTCCGTCCGCTGACTCCATGAGTTAACGGAAAGTGGTTTTGTTGCACTTAAATTTCCAAGAATACCATTCTCCACCGACCGCTTGCTCCCCCAATTGCTCCCCCAAGCAGTTAGAAATCCAACTTAAAAGTCGAGTTCAAGCCCAGTTTGGTGGTGCACACCTGTATTCTCACCACTCCGGGAGACTGAGGCAGTAGAATCACCAATGTGAGCACAGCTTAGGCAACCACACCATTTCTAAGACCCTGTCTCAGAAACTGGGGTGGTGCTGTGGATGTAGCCCTGACTTCAAGTCTGGTATTGGGAGGGAAAAACATCAGTGTTCAGAAAAAATAGAGCAATCAATTAATCTATTTCTTCCGAAAAACAACACAAAAAGAGGGGAATCAAATTTAGAGAACAAATGAACATTGAACAGTGCAGCATCCACACTATGGGAAGCAGGATGCAGCACACGGGTTCTGAATGTGGCTTTTGAGCTCCAACTTGGCCACCAAGGAAATGTCATTAGGCTCTTCTTTCAATAAGGCTTCCTTGCTGAAAGAAATGCTTGAGAAAATGATTCAGCTAAAATGTCATGAAATGGCCATAATTATTTTTCCCTTTTTCCTAATTTCAAACCTTCAAAGGGCTTTCTTATAAGCTCAAATGGTGTGATCCCTCTCAATTCAAGACTGAAAAACTGTGACAATCTCAAAATTATAAACAACATCATTGGTACAGAGGTGAGTATAACACTTGTGTCAATTTCAGGCATGTCTGAAAGGAGAAGCATGACCCACCACTGTTCCAGTAAATTCCTTTGAGACACCAGGCTTAGAAAAGGGCAGCTTTCTTCTCATTCTTGGGTTTCCTTTTGATTGGTGTATTCTAAAGGACTGTTTACAGGATGTACTAGGGAGCACACTGCAAAATTACAAGGCAGTCTCTGCAGTCTTTATGAAAGAACATTCTTCCATGTCACAGCGGGTGCTCTAAAGTTAGCTGCTAGTAGTGATTCCACAACAGTTAATCTGACAGACCAAAATCCATGCTGTAATTTCTCCAGGTTTCATCACCTCACATTTCTTCCCCCCAAATCATCAGTTGTTTGCACTTGTGGGAATTGGAAGGCTGAAATGAGATCCTTCTTCTTTCCTGATTTTCATATTCTCAGTTACATTTCTTTATTTCCTCCATTCTCTGGTTTTTTAGTGTCTCCATCAAAAACAAAAATGGCAGCTATTTAAATGAAAGATTCCATTTTTAAGCTTACACAGGTTTCCCCACAGAATACTCACAACCTCCTTCTCCCCCAAATGATAATACACATACACATATGGAGGAAAAGCTTAAGATCTAGAAGGAAGAAATAAGTATTGTGGAATACATAGGTTAACTTTACTGATTTCACTAAGATGGAAAAAGGGATTTTACTTGCGAATTCACACAGACCAGTTTGGTCTGACTTTCCTTCTCCTCCATAAGACCAGAGATGTAGTTGCAGCAGTATAGAAAGTGTAATCTCATTCTTCTAAAGAGCAAGAGTTGCGACACCCAGCAGTGTTCTGCATAACGGAATAATGTTTTGTATTTTAACCAAGGCAAGAAGAGTTTATGGCCAGTGACTTCTATTCTGTTATTATTTGGATCTAACATGACTCCCCAGATCTCCTGCACTGGGCAGGTGACTGGATTGTGGGGTGGCAGAACGGCTTTCTGTTGGGAGATGGGGTCCAGTCCAAGGGGAGTAGACTGGTCACTAGTGGTGCAGTCTAGAAGGTTTTATCCTGTTCTGCTCCTGCAATAAAGAAAGTGAACTGAAGTACACACCTCTTATATTAAACCTGATGCTGAACCGCTAAGAACAGAAAATGATAACCTTCTAAAATTAAGTACTGTTGAATACAAAGTTCACACATATCTACTGAATGTCATCAATAACTTATAGACATTAAACTAGAGAAAATAATTCCATTTTATTACCTAGGATTCATCTGTGTGTTTCATTTGCTCTTACTCAGTGCATGCTGGCATTCTTGTCTTTGAATCGACCTCTTTCTACCCTGTAGAATTAAAAGTGCATGTGACACATTTAACCAGGGCCTTACTTCTTTTTTTTTAACAGTAAAAAAATGCTTTAATTGGAAGATCAGAGGGAAGAGAGGACAGAACTCCATTTTAAGTAGCTGGAGAAGGCACACTTTAATATAGAGGTTCGGACTGGTCCACCCACAAAGGTCAGAGACAAATTTCAAGGACTGGATGGTGGGTTTGGGTTCAGTTCTTATTACCTCAGTCCAGGTGTCTTAGTTCTGAAATCTTTATGGATGATGGGTGGTGTCCTTCGCAGGAGAGCACTGTCCTCGTGGGGATTTAGTCATATGGGGCTCCACCTTACCTGGAGACCAGGTGATTACAGGTAAGGAGACCAGGTGATTACAAATCTAGGACAATGTTTGGAGAATTCTGAGTATAAGTCTATGTCTTTGTAAACCTCTTACCTTGTTGCCCTCTTCTTAAAGAAAAATGAGATCATGTAAAGTCCAGGGTAATCAACCCTAGCTGACCAGCTCCTAGGAAGTCATTTAGTAAATGGTCAACATACACCTGCGCAGAGCTGAGAAGAGATCTGACCTAGTATCTACTGTAATGAAGGATGTAACATGAAGGTCAACCTTTGATCCATTTGTAGTTACCTTTTGGACACCTGTAGGCTCAACTTAAAAGCCATGGTTCATAACAAATATTGCCTTTAAGGGCATGATTTTTCCAGAAAACACAAATCTTGCTTTTAATGAGTAGCAGGTAAGGGCTCAGGTTTGTACCTGTCCCCCATCTCTGTAGTGGTCCCTGATTATGTCATGACAGTACCCCCACCCTGAAGTTGTATACTTCTTAATTTTTATAGGAAAGAAACACAAAGATTTTTTTTTATTTTCAAAATATTATTAACTATTTCACTGTGTGATTGTATTTTCTTGTTGGGTGTTAAAGACATAGTAGATATTAAAAATTAATTTTATTTTACTGTTTTTCTTTGATTTATTTTATTTTTAAATTTATTTAAAAGATAATGAAGACATGCAAATAAAACAGAATAAAGCCAATCAAAACAAACCAGTGTAAGTGACAGAGGACTTCAAAACGATAGGAAATCACCAAAGGTTACCATAATGCCTGTTGTTGTTTTCAAAATAGTTGCAGATACCTTCAGATATAGTAAAAAAATCAAACAAAACAACAGAGTAGAACCAATAAAAACAAAACAATGAATGCATAAAGGACTTCAAAACAAGCAAATAATACATCCAAAATGGTTACCATAACATATCTTGTTATCTTTGAAATAGCTTCCTATGCCATCATTATAATAAAATCAAACAAAACAAAACAGAATAAAATTCAATCCCGCAAAACAGTGGAAATTATCAGGACTTCAAAATCAGATAAAAGGGAGTTAACAATGGCTCCCATCTTCAGAAGGAGATCCCCCTGAAATGCCATCATCTACCATCCTCCAAATAGATGATCAGACCACTGGCCCTAGACCTGCAAAGTAAGAGAACATAAAACACCACAAGTATCAAATTCTATTTCACCTGAATACCCATCATCACAGCCTGTGTTTCCTCAGATCAGTCAGTCACTTATACAGGGTGAAGGTGTGGGGGGAGTATCGGCTTCTCTTGTTTCCCAGCCCATGCCTCAAAAGGGGCTTGGGTCTGGCTGTCTCCCCAGCAGTGCTGGTTGCCAACACTTAGCACTGATTTGCAGGGAGTGCTTGCTGCTTGGTGACTTCTTGTTCTCTTTCCCTGTAGTCCACAATGGTGCTTACTCATGGGAAAAGGCTGGGGTCTGATTGTCTCCAAATTTCATTTTACTCTTAAGATCAATCAAGGCTTCTTGGGAGACACATAAAGAGCTTCTCATCTTCTTCAGATCTTTGCCATTTTTGCATCTTCCAGGATGGACCAAGGTCTTGCTTGACCCTGTGGCCTCTCTGGGAAGCATGAGTACACCCCCTTTTCAGGGGTCCTCTTTTAGCACAATGCACATTGGCTGATTCATGTCCATCAGGATCCACAATACCTCTGCTTCAAAGGTTGGGGGACTCACTGGAGTTGCAGAGCCCATTCATCTTGCCTGTGACCCTGTGTGACCATAGAGGGTAAAAGCCAAAACACTGACTGTCCCCTGAGTCCTTTCATTTCCCTTAGTTTTGGCCTCCAAACTTCAGTTGTTGACCACTCATTACAGTGTTGGTGGGATTATAAACTAGTATCACCACTGTGGAGATCAGTGTGGATATTCCACAAAACCTAAAAGTAAAAATTCCATTTGATCCAGATATACTTCCTTTAGGTATTTCCCAAAAAGAAATAAAAATATCGTATTGCAATGATACCTGCACACCCAGTTTATAAATAAATAAACTGATAACAGCTAAATCTTGGAAAGTGGCCTGTATGCCCAGATGGATGGGACAAGTAAATGTGATGTATGGGCAATGCACACAGTAGAGTATTTCTTGGCCATAAAGAAGGATAAGATTGAGTTATTTGTAGGAAAATGAACGCAACCTTATACCACCATGCTCAATAAATCAGACACAAATTAAATATCACATGATCACATGGTTTCTTTTAGAAATCCAGAATATAAATATTCAAAGATCAAATAGAAGAGATGAGACAGAAAGCAATGGTGGACTGCAGAGGGTAAATGGGGATGAGGATGAGGGGAGGCAGAAGGAGAGGGAGGGGAGGAGGAAGTAAAACAATTAAGGTATGATCTATATATACCCCGATTCCTTAAAATAATGTAGTTATTGTGTATTATATACATTTACTAATAAAAAGAAACTAAAGAAATCTTTCTAAGTGGTGTAGGCCAGATATTGGCAAGTGGCCCACCCAGCTTGTATAGTTTCTGAAACAATAATCTGTAAGGTATCATTCATATCCCTTTCTAATTGGAATTATCATGGCCGCAAGTCAGACAATATCATTTTCATAATGCTGAGAGCAACACTAAGGTTGATTTCCAACACGGCCTGTGTTCATTTTAAGGAAGTCCATTAATTTCAGCTGCTGATCCACATTTCCAAAGCCCTCAACACTTTCCTTCTCTCTTCTCTCTTCTGTCTTCTGCTTTTCAGACCAACCCTTCTCATGTAATGCCTAGTGGTGACAGAGATTTTCAGACTACACAGACAGGTAAGAAGTGAGGAGGTAAGATTTCTTCTTCCTTGGATCTTTTAAATGTGATTTAAATGACCTTTGCCAAAGCCAGCCTGTGCAGCGTGGGGCCATGGCAGCTTGCCTGGCCCCCAGGACAACTGAGAGACAGCATTTTTACCTGTGTTGTCTCAGCATCTGCCACCCCTCCTCTATGCACAGGGTTTCCAGCACATCTAAACAATGGCCAGTATCCACAGTGGCTGCCCCAGCTGCCTGTCTGCCTGGACAATGAAACTAACCTGCCCAAGAAACACTTACGTAACTGTTGGCCTTCTGTTAACAAAGTTGTATAGCTATAGAGACTCGTTTTTCTTAGTAGTTCTATTAGTTTTCAAACTTTAGAGAAAAGTTGCAAAGACCATAGGACTAATTATTTGGAACAACAATCCTTTCTATTGCAAGCAACAAAATTTATAGATGCTAAAATGAGTGAGCAAAAGTTTAAGGAGAAATAGGTTTCTTGGTTAATGTCAAAGTATCACCCTTAAAATATTTATTGTTACAAGAACAAAATTAGTAATTTCACCAAGAAGAAAGTCATCTTAGGGAAGAGGTTAAGGTTTGCATCTCTAGGAGGGATCTATATGTATATCATTTACAACCACTGTGATCTACATTGCAGTTGATTTCCTGCTCCTAAAGCACAAATTCAATCTAATTACGTGAAATCAACAAATCCAGCTTAGAGAGACTAATAAGAATTTGTGACTAGTACTCTTCAAATAGTCACCATCATGAAAAAGAAGGCAAGATTGAGAAACTGTCACAGATTACTGCATCTAAAAATTAAAATTAGTACAGGATTGTGGGTTACATTGTAGAATCGGCAGACAAAAAATATGCTGCTTGTGTTTGGGGAAAACTTGACATTTGCAGAAAGTTTGGAGTTTAATAATATTGTAAAATTCACATAATTGTGTAGCTTAGTTAATTCCATTGTACTGATGTCAGCTTCTTGGATGTGATTGTCATGTTTACAGTTATGCAAAATGGCAGTGTAATAGAGAGCTAGGGATGCCCAAATTGTTGTTAATTGAGTTTTTGTCATAAATATAGTTTTAATCACAGATAGAATTCGAGAAATTCATAGCATATCACATTGCAAATTTAAGTGTGCATATTATTCTTCATGGGTTTTTTAATTTTCTTGGTGCAATATTCTTAAGAGAAATAGTTTTATTTAATTCTTAGGCTTTATTTTTGTTTTATTCATTCCATGATTGCTGTACATAAAGTTCACATTTGTCTTTAAGAATAGATGCACGTACACAACACACTTGGATTCCTTTTCACTCTCTTCCCATCCACGTCCCTAACCTCCTTCCGTCTCTACATCCCATCCCCATTTTCATTGCTACTTTTGTTATTATTTTAGTTCATGTTTACAACAATCAGTGTTTGCATGCATGGTGGGTTTTTGGTATGAGCACTGGAAGACCAAAAGAACTGGAGATCAACATCCAAAGGGGAGGGGAAGATTGGAGCTCCTCCATAAAGGGACGCTTTTTTTTTTTTTTTTTTTGTCTTTTTTGAGATGGAGTCTCTCGATGCAGCTCAGGCTGGCCTTAAGCTCACTTTGTAGCCCAGGCTGGTCTTGAACTCGCAATAATCCTCCCACCTCAGCCTTTCAAGTACTAGGATTACAGGTGTGAGCCACTACGTCAGGCTAGGGATGCATTTTCTTCTCTCCTATTTTAATTCCATCAATGCCCCAAGCCAAAAGTTTGATGCCACCACATCCAGGGTGGGTCTTCCCTCAGCAGTCTGCCATGTGGATCAGCTTCAGCCACGCTCACTGCTTTCCTAGTCTGCTGGACAGTCTCTTCTGAAGGCTCGCTGACATTAACAATTAACAATCTCACTGCCAGGGCTACTTACCTGGAGTCTCATCATAATTATAACCACTGGGCCGTGTGGGTAAAAATAGTATAGTGACACACTGCTCAACAGGGAAATGGCATATTTCTCAAACAATACCGTCTGTCCATCTACCACCATCCTGATGGGCCTAAACCCTCTCCTTCTTCCTACAACTCAAATATGTAACTACCCTTTGCATGGCTTTCTAAAAAAAAATTATTACTGTGTGTAGGCAGTATATAAATGCTAATATTCCCTCCGTGGAGTTGGTGTGTGTACACAACATGCCTTAATTCCTTTTTTCAGCCCATGTCCCTTTCCTCTGTCCTACCTCACTCTATGCCTTGATCCTCTACCCATTTGAGAAATACCTACTTCCTACTGTCTTTTATTTTGCTCTTTATTTATAATTTGGGTTTCTCAGATAAGAGAAAATGTGCTATTTAAGCTTCTGCATCTATTTACTTAATATTATGGTCTCAAAGTGGATCCATTTTCCTACAAATTATTCAAGTTTCTCTTTCTTTAGGCAGGTAGTACTCCACTGTGCATAAACACATTTTCTTTATCCATTCATCTGTGGCTGGACACATAGGCCACTTCCCAGATTAAGCACTATGAATTGTGCCTCTACAGACATAGGCAGGCACTCATCAATATAATGTGAGGTCTTTAACTCTGTTAAAAAGATATCTACGAGGAAACTATCTGGTTCAGATAGAATTTATAGTTTTGAATTTTTGAGGAATCTCCATCCTGATTTCCTAGTGGTTGACATGTCCAAACTATAATTTGTAACCCCTCAGAAATTTTCTTTTCTTTTACTTTTTGCAACTTCAACAAATGGCATCATTAAAAACCCACCCAGAGCCCCAAAGCTGTAATTCAGTCTTGACTCTTCTTCACTTCTAAATACCCTAAGTGACTGAGTCCTGGGCCCCTTTTTTGCCAAATGTAACCACCTTTCTCTATTACCCTGGGTACTAATGTAATCCAGGACACTTTCATCTTTCATTTGATTCTGGAAAAAAATTAGCTGATACTCCTGGCTTCCAATCTATTCCTCTCCCAGGAACTTTTCTCTTTGCCCAGAATCCATAGAGGCTTTTGAAAAGTATATACCAGCTAAGTCACTCTTCTAACACTCCAGAGGGAAATCTCTCTGTCCCTCGGAATGCGTGGGCACCATAACATTTTTCAGTGGTTTACAGGAGCCCACAGTAAGGGTCCCTACCTGTTTCCACACATCTCTCCCCATCTGCCCTCCCAGCGTCCTAACCCTCACCACGAGGATCTTACATTTTGAGCTGTTCCTCTCTCTGCAAAGAGACATCTTTGTCTGTGGATGGACTACTGTCTCCACACCTCTTTGTTGTATAATCTTTTACTCATCCTTGAGATCTCACCAGAGTTGTCATGGCTTTCTCTGGCCCCTCCGAGTTAGCTCTCTCTGCTCACTGGCCCAGCAGTGATTGTTCTGTGCTGGAATTTCTGGCTTCATAATGTCTTTTCCCACAAGCCCTTCACCTTCATGTGGCCTGGGCTCCAATACAGATTTGGCACACTATAGACAAAGAAGAGAGAAAATAACTCTGTTCTTTGCTTTGTCTTGACCTAGACACTACTTTCTCCAATTGATTACTCCTTTGTTGCCCTTTTAATACTCTGAATTCCCTCCATTCTGTCCTATCAAGATATTTGCATTCTTGCAAGTTATATTGGAAAACCAACGTATGTCAAGTCCCATTTAGACTAACATGATGGGAAATTCTGGGTACTTAGTGGTGGCTTGCTAAGGAGGGAAACACTGAAGAGTCCAGGCAGAAGGTGTCCCCAGGGGCTGCCTATAGGGAAGAAAACACAGGATATGAATTTTGTTTCTAAAATACTATGAGTAAACACATTTTTGATTACTTAATGCTGTTAGATCATTGATTACTTCAGCTCTTTTTGGAACTCCATACTTAGGAACACTTTGTTCATTTTGGAAAGCTGGAATGTGAACATGAAACACAGTAGGAGATTTGGACCTTCCTTGGCCATAAGTTAACAGGTTAGTGGGGTAATAAATATATAAGGGAACGTTCCAGTACCATCAAATGATTGCTTCTGATAGGTCACCATACAGAGCACAGAGGAGCATGTGGCAACAGTGTCTGTTAGAAGTCCAGGAAAAGGAGAAGAGCATGAATCCCATGCATATTAAGTTAAGAAACCATCAACTGCTGAGACTCATTATTTGAAGTCATAGAGTTAATCCTTCCTACATCAAATCCACACTTTTTTGTAATTAATAAAAATAATATGTGCCCAGGAAGATTACATGGTTAACCTAAGCTTACCCAACAGTGTCAGAATCCTAATTACAAACATCCTCTCCCCCCAAAAAATGAGCTTTAAATTTAAAAAAAAAAGAGAAAGTTTTTGTGAACTTTAATTGTCTTGGGAGTCATATATTTGCAAACTATCAGGCTTTAAAAATCTTCCATTTGTATTTATGGAAACAAGTCAGGAGTGTTTGCACAGTGAAGGACAATTTCCTCTTCCTTCCTAAGAGTCAGTTAATAGACCAAAGAAATTGGCTGTAAGCACTGTTTGAAAAGAACGAAATGTGAGGATTTCAGCCCTGTATGCCAGACAGATGCAGAAATCTAGAGAAGGGTTCAGGTGGCTTTTGTACCTTTGTCAGGTGACTTGATCCCTTACACCTAAGATGCTCATCAGAAATTTTATTTCTTTAATTTTTTTTTTTTTTTTTTTTTTTTTTTGTCTTTTTCCTTTTTATCGGTACCAGGATTGAATTCACGACTGCCTGCTTGCAAGGCAGGTCTTTATGCCACTGAGCTAAATCTCCAGCTCTGAAATTTTATTTCTTATTTTAAGTGAATCTGTTTAGTCTTCTCTCTACCTATATACAATTGTGTAAGCAGGTACAATTATGCATTAAGTACCATAGAGTTATATATAAAAATAATACATATGTATAGTTTAGATTTGTATAATGTAAAATTGTAACACGATGTGTAATTAATATTTATTTTTATTAATTAAATGCAGTTGTTAACCCAAATACGTTTTGTAGTTTCTAGAGCTACTGAAGGTATAATGTGTGCAGA